GAATGAGAAACAAACAGGGGCAGAGTTAAACATATTGAAGTCAGTTAATCATTTATGAAACATTTCATCTATTAATTTTAATATAAAAATTGAATACGTTATTACATGAAGGAGGGAGTTCAAAATATAGGTGTTGTTTGACATATATATATTTTTATAAAAGCTTTTACATAATTTAATAAAATTTAGATGAAATGTTTGGTTGAAAAACTGATAAAAATTGTGTATCCGATAAAATGTGTGATGAAAGTTGAAAAATTAAGTTTGATAGCAAATTTTATCAAACATACATATAATTTTAAATTTTAAATAAATCTATCTCATCTATAATATTTTAATGTTGTTGGACTCTTTTGCCAAGTATTTTTCTTTTTCATTTTTTCTCTGCACTATATGGACTTTTTTATATGACCAATTATGGATGGATCGTAACTAATAGGCAGTAAATAAATATGATGGGAACATTATGTATTCTCCTAAGAAACAATTTTTTTTTTTTTTTTCACATGACAACATGGAGTTGTTTTGTTTATTTATATCTAATTAGATGATATACATCACGTCGAAAGTAAATGTTATGGCACTAGGTCGTATCCACATGATTCACGTTTTAATACTCATGTCTTGCTTATGAATGGTCCTACGAAGATGTATAACCACTATCTTCCCTATTTTGGTCCATGTTTTAATACCCACGTCTTGTTTTATAAATGTTACTACGAATATTTATAACTAAAGAATCTACTGTAAAATAATGAGATAATTATTGATAATTATTTAGTGTCATCATGATACATTGATAAGTTTTAGTTTAGAAGATCTATTTTATTCCAATTGTAACTTTTATTTTGGACCCTATAAATACAGGCATTGGTTCATAATAATATACAATTGAGTTTTGACTCTATTTGTTTTCTTATTTTCTCTCTTCCCTTTAATTTTAAAACAAAATCCTCATTTTGGTAATTGAATAACATAGAGAAAGAGAGAGATTTAAAGATAATTTTTTACTACTAAAAAAAAAAAAAAACTAATTTGACGATAAAATAAAAATAAGGGGGTGTTTGGAAGACATTTTTATGCAAAAATGTATTTTTGAATAGTAAATTAATGGAAAATGTGTGGTTGAAAAATAAGGAAATTTTTTTAATTTACGTGTAATATTATTTTAATAAAAAATGTGTGATTGAAAAAAAAAAAGAAAAATGCATTTTGAAAAAAATGGATACCGAACGAGGACTAACTAATTTTTAATCAAAAGTAATAAATATTAAGGAGGAATGAAAATTTGAATTTGGAAAAATCCTGAAGTTAGAGTTCCCACATGATTCCATGTTGATCAATCGAACAAGATTTTTAATCTGTCAAAGTAATAAGCGTGCCGCATTTTTCGAATTATATTTTCAAGTTAGGTGGAGCATACATAAAATAGTCATATCATTTATCTATTTTTATGATCATTACTTTGTTACTGTATACAATATATTCTAAGTCCTTGTTTGAGTTCCATTATTTAAAAAAAAAAAGTATTTTTTAACAGTATTTTAACATTATTTCAATCACATATTTTTTAATAAAATAATATTACACGTAAATTCAAAACTTTTCCTTATTTTTTAACCACATATTTCCCATCAATATACTATTCAAAAATTTATTTTTCCCCCAAAATGGGGATCAAACAAGGGCTTAAGAGTTGGATAGTACATCTATTAAAGATGTAAACGATCCGAATTTGCGAATTGGGCTATATCCCCAAGCCGAATGAAGGATGCACAAAATAATCCGGTCCTTCTTATATTCTCTTTTAGTTGAGAGGGCGTTTAACACCCATTTTGTTATAAAAATAGATTTTAGAATAATAGATTGATGGAGAATGTGTGGATGAAAAATAAATAAATTTTTTTTAATTTA